AAAAATGCTTGGCTGACTAAAAGACACACTTCTCACCTATTAAATTACCAAGAAGTTGAGATAAAATACACCATTTTAGAGTTCCAAAAACCCTCATTTTCATAATAAGGCCAAGTGTAAAACCTTTCATATGAAAATGAGTTTTATTCAAATGAAAAAATAAAACAATTTTCTTTTAATATCAAAAAATTTTGCGGTGAAACTCGTTTTGAAAGAGAGGCTATCCGTGGCCAGGGACCCACAATGAATTGCTCGTCGCCTCCGGGAAAAACCTTCTTTTTCGGTTTTTTTAAGCCAGATGACAAAATTGTTTACAACCATTATTTGATTAAAAAAACCTTTCTTTGCAAGCATCAATCTTCAAAAGTGTTAATTTTTGGTATCATTAATCATATGAATTTTCAAAATTTCCTAACGAAATGATTGTGAAGCACGAAATATTAGAAACTCACAATAAAAATAAAACTATAATTATGAAACTGAAATTAACTCGAGTAAAAAACCAAAATCCCTTTTTGTCATTTAAACCTTACGTCGTTTCACTCACTTTCTGTTAAAATATTATGCAAAACTCTCGTTTAAAAATGGAGCAATGTGAATATTACGTAACGAATCCTCGTCCCAAAAAATGGTGATAAACGTTACTCCTATTTTGTAAGTAATAAAGTCATAATTATCTTTTATTGCCATTTACAACGGTGTGAAAAGCAGTGGTCTATTGAACATTAACTGCATTATTTTTACTTTTTCTTAGGAAAATGAATTGTTCAGAGTTCGCGTGCTTCTAAAACAATTCAAAATTAACTGTCACTGATTAATCAATCTTATTGTAAAGAAAAGAAGTATAATACAAAAGGAGATGCTATTAAAATACCTCGAAGGGACGATTCAGTTTCGAGGAGACGAAAGGAAATTTTAAAGCAAACTATTTGGCGTTACATTTGCAGATAGTCGTCTGTGGTCACAGGAAAGGACCAGAAAAAGGTTAGTCAAATTTTGCACTGAAATTTTGGATCTTAAGTATCGGTTTTGTTTGACGGTTTTCACTTGTGCGGGATCGAGCCAACTGTGAATGTTTCTCATGTAGCTAAAACTTAAACTCTTTCTTTTTTTCCTTTGAAAATGGGAATTTTTCATAATCGTGATCATAGTCATTTCAGGTCCATTCTCTGATACAACTGATTTTCAGCAAAGAATCTTTCAGCGCATCAGCAAAGAATTTTTTTTATTTATTTTATGAACAACTTGACAAATTTTCCTGTTTCAAAAGAAGGAATCGTCGCGAAATGATAGAGTGATGTAAACTCCCCCTAAGAAAGAAAGCGTTAAGAACTAAACTATGTAAGTGCTTGTGATAAAACGGGGAGGAACAGCAGGGATAACCGCCCGGCTTCCGGGAACTAAACTGTTAAGAAAGACTTGACCGACTGTAATAGTTGTAAGACTTGTGGGAAAAGAAAAAGCGGCGCGCAGAACTCGACCTTTGAGGTACTGATACATGCTAAAATAAAGCAAGTGCATCGCTGTTATGAGTCAAAACAACAGCTCCACACGTGCATGGCGCTTTTTAGTACATTTCTTTGACGTCCACTTCACGACTACGACGCGAAACCTTCCAATGTGACGTTTACGGAGGACGTGAACATAGATGGATGAATTTTCCTTTCTCTTTTTGAAGCTGGATAAACTCCTTAAGAATTCAAGTCCTGGACTGAAAATCGCCTTCATTTGACAAACTGAACGAGTCCAAATAGGCGCGATAAAGTTTTAAAGGACGAAAAATCATCCTTTTTTGGCGACGTTTTCAGTACCGACGTTGTTCCCTGTCGTTGCTTAACCCTAATACTTTCACGTAGACATGACTAGACAAAAGCTGCCATCCTGTCAACGGCACACTTTACATCTAAAACACAGCGATCAAATTGCCTGGGAGATGTAATGGAAAAAAACAAAACTGAGAAAAAAATAAACGTTAAGGAGCTTCCGAGGTACACCCACAGCCGGACCGCACGCTAAATATACGTTTCTTCAAAATATAAACTATTCCCTATGATCTTTAAGCTAGCTTTCCCTAGGTATTTCGTGTGGAGGGATACACTTTTTTAAAAAATTACTGCTAACAATTAGAGCCTGGTTTTCTTGTTTAAAAAATTAAGGAAATTGAATATTGAACAAGGTCCCCATAGGGATGAACGCAAAAGGACGATGGAGGATGTAGAAAAACTGATTGCGATGATCAACAGTTAATTATCGATTTTTACAATTTCAAGGTGTGAAAAGCAGTCGTCAATTACTGTACGTTCAATGAGTTCAATTACTATACCATTTTTTTGTGAAAATAAGAAATACCGTCCAACCTCCCGTATATATGAGACCACTAATTACAATGTAAAATTAAAACCTCTACCCCATAAAGAGGTCGTTCAGTGTTTCGTTTTGGAGAAAGAGTAAGAGGGCCTTGAGCGCGAGGAAGAAGGGAAGGGAACCTCCTCCCACGCCCTTTATGCACTCGCGCAAATCACTATATTGCCTTCCCATTCCACGCAGGCTATTCTGAGTCTTCTTTTCCCTTGACTTCTTGATGTGTTTTTGTTGAGTTCTTTTGAAATGTAATACATAAGCCTCTTCGTTTCAGTTTTTTACCTTTCCAGCAAAGCTTAATGCGTTTTTTACGTGTTAGTCTTGTATTTGCAATATCTACGAAGACATATTTCGTAAAAATTAATAAAAATAAAGTGTTGCGTAGAAATAAATGAGCCTTATAACGGCCTTAAAACTTTGCGTTTTCTCCTCGCCTGAAGCCAGCATGAAGTTCTTTCTGTTGATGACACTGTTCAGTTGTGCTGCCACATTCGCACTGGCTGACGGAGATGAAAACGAGAGTGGCCTTATCTCCGATGCCTCTTCCAACGACAATGAAGTCGCGGGTCAGTTCGAAGAAGAAAACGACGAAGAAATGGAAGATGACGATGAAACGAACAGGTGGTTGGCTCCGGAGGTGTACGATTATCTGGCGGAACGTGAACGGAGGTCAGTAAACGCCAGCCAGATACCAGAAGAGAAGGAGTTAGAAAAGAAGAAAAACAAAAAGAAAGGCGAAGGAAAAGGGGGCAAAAAGAAAGCCAAAAACAAGAATAAGAAAAACAAGAAAAACAAGAAAAAGAAAAAGAAACCAAGGAAATATACAGAAAAAGGTAGATTGATGTAGATTGTAAACACTTGTTTCTAGGGCCAAGAGGGACAGCGCCCCGGGGGGTACTCCCTTATATAATCCGTATCGTATGTGCCACTCCCAAATGGTATGCTTTTTGCACCGTTTTGGTCTGAAAACGGGTTTAGACTTTGCCCATTTTAGTCTTGAATCGGGTGTGGTTTTCGATTGAGCTATGGAAGTGTATGAATGTATTCCTCGTTTCAATTCCAGATGAATAAGAAAGAAAGGGAAAATATGCGAATTCGAATTTTATCGCCGTTCTAATCTAAGTACGAGTACGGATTTTAAAGGCCAGTTCTGATAACGGAAGTGAAAATGGCATTTTTTGGTCTGAAGTAGAGTTAAGATTCAGAGAACCGGACGGCACAGCCCCGCCAAGAATTCCCAACCCCCAAGGAGGTGGAGGGGGGGGCGTGGAGGGGCAGAGGCGCTTACCAAAAAAAGGTGGCTTTGTACATCAAAAAATAACCAGGAAAGAATAACCTTAATTTTTTTTCTCACATTAAACTGTCTTAAGGGATTTTTATTATCATAAATCGTTGCCATTGTTTGATTAGTTATCGTACAGTTTTTTTTTTACCGTGCTAATAATTCTCTTTGAAATGGGCCACTTCAAAAACTACTCCAATGTTCGTTTAGTGCAGGTTTAGGTCCTTTTTAAGATCCCGAGGGCCTACAGCCAATGGAACATGGCACGGTTGCATTTTAACACAAAGGACCTTGTGATGCTCAACCGCTCGCTTTTCCCAACGTGGCTTGCGGGCTTCGAATACCCACAATCCACCTGGTTAAGAGGCAGGGTTTGGCTTGTTCATCTCGTCAGTTATCTTTTGTTCTCTTCATGAACTATGCGCGCATAATCTAAAGCTTCCCGTCATGTATAATTTCCAGTACATTTGCATTACATACAGCAGGGCTTTAAACGCTGACGTATTTCCGTATTGTCTCTTCTCGGGGCGGAGAGAAGCAACGACCAGAAATACGACTAAGTCGCAAGCTACAGGGCTTAAAATGGCCTTATTCGGTTGAGTTTTCACTGGATTAAGAAGCCTTCTAGCCTGCGGACTTAGAAATATTTCGGGTCGTCTTTGTTCTCCACCTGAAAGAAGCGACGACCGCAAATACGTTTGTCTCCGCGGGCTAGAAGCCTACTGGTCCAATGCAAAAAAAGCTAACTTTCTAGGGCAATTATATTTTGCCGTTAATAAGCAATATCCAAGTTGCTGCTAGCCTTTTTCGAGTGCGAAGTCTTTGATATGAAAATAATATTCTATTTCTGTTTTTGAAAGGATACGTTAAGTTTTGCACTTTAGGCCATTTTGAAAGAAAGGGTTTTTGGAACTCGGGTGTAGCCCGTCGTCACTATTTAAATATCTTACTATAATTGGACGAGGTTGAGCAAAATATACTGATTTTCAGTGGCGAGCAGAATGATTATTTGCCACAGGCGAAGGCTGAGGCAAATAATTGATCGCGAGACACTTACAAATCACGAAAGAGCGAACCGAAAATCGAGTTCAATAACAATTATTGAACTCGATTTTATCATTCGATCACCAATTAAGTTTGTTTTTAATGAATATCTCCGGGAAGCGAAGCCATCTCCTATTTTCAGGCAGGAGCGATCTCAAGAGGGAGAAAAGCGTGGTTTTATTTACGCATGAGCAGCACAGCCAAACACAGTTGGACGACACTGCACATGAACATACTTTTATGTGTAGGCAATTATTTGCAGCACACGTGACAGGCTCTTGGCCAATGTAAAGGAAGAAAAGTTTGCATGGAAATGATAATAGCTTATTTTTGTTTTTTTTTTATTTTGTCAGAGAAAAAAGCGTGGTTCGCACGGGTGGGTTGCTTCGAGGATAAGGGTCCCGCAGCCTGGAAAAACAAGTCACTTCGTGCACTAAAAAATCTATACAGAAATGAACGAGGGAACCTCGACTGGAACATCGCTTGGGAGGATTTCTCCAGCGTAGTCATGGATTGCTCAACGGCTGCCCAGATCGAGGGATGCCCCTGCTTTGGTGTCCAATTCTTCGCCGAGTGTTGGTGTGATAAGAGCTGTAAAACTTACAATGTCTATGGGCGTTCGAAAAGGTGTTTCAGAGGAGTTGTTGGCCTCCACTGGACCAATTTCGTATACAGAGGAAGATGCGGTTCAGGTGAATCTCCACGTACTATAATGAAATAAATAGAAGGGCGTATGAGAAGAGATGAACTCAGAAAAGTTTCAGATGCGAATAGGCCAAGTTCGATATTTTAAAATTCTAACACGGCTCCAAGGTCTTTAGGGACAAATTGCAAATTTTCCACGATTCCTTATCACGCTATTCCCAGAAGAGACGTTTGGCACAAAGAAAACCAAAACAAATTCACAAAAATGACCAGAAAGCCTCGGAGTCAAGTTAGAATTTTCTATATCGAACCGTGGGCTATTAAACTTACGACATTCTAGACACTAGCCAAATGCTCTAACCACTGAGCTACTCAAGAACTCTATCGATGAGCAGGCCATTTGTGCGGGCTGACATAACTACTACGCAGCTCACATTTGAAACCGCCGTATAGGTAAACTGCGAGTAGTCTCTCATTTTCGTGGAGGATGGTAAAGTGAACGAATTACGTGAGCGCGCATGAAAGGCGATTTTACCGCGCGCGTAATTCGCTCACTTAACTGGCTACAGTATGGCACGAAATTTTTGTGGGTTCTAATTTTTGGGATTTTTGCTATTTTTCCATGCAGCGATCCGTAAAAATAGGTTCCCGCCTAAAAAGATACCGCAAACATTCTTTCCGCAAAAATTTGCTTCAGAGTAAATAACTCAAACCAGGAGCCGATTACTGCTCAGACTCTTTCTTCTTCTTTTCTCCCATTTTCAACAGACATTTATTTATTCCCTTTCCTTCAGAAATTGTCATTTTTCCCCATTTTCCATCCTCCACGAATTATCCCTGTGTGCCGAGACTTTTCATGCGCGGTTCGGCCGGTTCTTCGGCCTTCGACCGAAGATGTGTCGGCCGCTGGCCAACACCGACGTCTCTCGCCGCACGCGAGAAAAAACCTCTGGACCCCATGGTACGAATTCAGGTGCCTTGTCACTGACTTATAAGTCACTCATAAATCACCACCTTTGAGTTCTTCGAAACGCGTTGCGTTCTTTTCGTAACATCATCGGCCTTGCTTATTAGATCTGAATTTAAAAGAGTAGTTTATGGTAAAGAACCAACATGAATGTAACGTTACGTTTTGTTTTTGCAGTTCATGGCTGCTGTAAAGATGGCGCTATGCCAGCTTTGGGGCCAAATTATAAGGGTTGCCCAGGTGAGTCAGCTTTATTTTTTTCAAAGACATCCCGAGATTATGTAGAGAACAATTCTAACAGGAACCACTTGGACAAACAGCGGCTAAGAGAAGCAGTACATAATAAAATTAAGGGGCTGCGTCACGGCTGTGTATTTTAGTTTTTTAACACCGTAAATGCTGTATTAAGCCCCCTCCCCCTCTCAAATAAGGCCCCTCCCTCTAATAAGCCCCGCCCCTTTTTTCAGGGAGAGAAAGTTAATAAGCCCCCCCTCCCCTCCCCGAAGTATTCTTCACTAATAAATGATAGACTCTATTAATCAATCACGACTCTAAAACTTCGTGTGGACTTATCCGTGAGGGTTTATTTACCAACTGGAAGCTCGGATTTGATTCTGATTCTCTGCTGTACTGGACCTCCAACCTTCTTGCACTTGAGCTCTTCCATTTGTATTCTAGTTCTTTACAGAGAACTGATACCATCGTCTTTTCTTTATTGAATAAGCTTCCTCCTCTCCCTTAAATGGGCTTGAAGTAGATAAGCCCCCGGGGGGGAGGGTATAGAGATTTTTCTAACTCCATTTAGTGTAACAAGGTTTCACAAATTCACAATTGCAATCCGTCTTACATGTAATCTTCTTGAACTTTATTCATCCCTGCCTCCTTGCGTATTATACCTTCTTTTACCCCCTTAAGTCCCAATAGTGACCAACATCAGTTTTCTCCCAATGATATCCGTACATTGTCAAGAGACTAGGTTATGAGAATAAATAAAATGATCACCTAAGACAAAATGCTTTGATCTTTTATCAAATTCTCTCAACTCATTCTTTAAGGAAATATATAGAGATCAGTTTGGAGAATTTGTATGTGGATATTGGGGCTTAAAGGGTTAATCAATGTTTTAAGTTGTTGTTTTTATTTGATGGCAGTTCCAACAATAAATTCCTACAATAGACCTTTTTACCGATAGGCGGCCATATTGAATTAATTCGATTTAAGGAGTATTATAGGATGCCCAGGGGGCATAAGAACATTTCGTTTGTATTTTCGAACGCTTTTCGAGACATTTTTTCTTAAAGTTTTCGTAGAATAAGATTTTAATGGGAAAAAAAGATCTTTGTGCCGTGTTTGGATGTAATAATGATCGCCTTTTTCTAGTTAAGGATTAGAAATATCGTCTTCACTATGTATTTCTCGGGAAAAAGGCGATCATTATTACATCTAAACACGGCACAAGGATCTTGTTTCCCATTACAGTCTTATTCTTAGAAAACATTAAGAAAATATTGTCCCGAAAAGCGCTCGAAAGTACAAACGAAATCGAATGAATTCAATATGGCCGCCGTATCGGTAAAAAGGTATATTGGAATGACACAGTTCTTTTGCTATGAAGGGTAATCTATAGCCCAATAATTCGGTCAGGCAAAACTGAACCTTCATCAGGTTCTGGAAAGGCTAAGAAAAAATGGAATAATTGGTAACGATACTTAAAAAAGACAAAAAATAAAGAAAACTGTGATTGGAATAGACGATAATAGACATAATATACAGCGGTCACGTAAAAATACAAAAAGATTAAGTTTTATCTTGTCTGTTCATCCTATGTGGTTCAAGGGAGTTAGGAAGACCTTCAGATAACAGTGGCCTCAAGCAAGCTGTGCAAGGCGTCCAGCGGTTTTAGTGAAAACAAGGGTTTGGGCGGGGGGTGCTCAGTCTCGCGGGCTCGTAAAACTTGGTCTAGGTCGTAGGCATTTCAGTCCGAGCTGCCCCAAGCCTCTGTTTCAAAGCGAGGCTAAGTGCGAAAATGAAATGAAACCCATTTTCACATGAAAGGTTTTGCACTCAGCCTCGTTTTGAAATTGAGAGTTTTCGGAACTCGGAAATGGAGTATCTGAAAAATGCTACTTTGGCTTTTAAAACGTTGCCTAGTCGATGGGACCTGTACGGCGTCTTCCCAGACCTTCTCGGTCAATTTGGTAAAGTATGTGAGAGTCGCAACAAGATATTCGCCGGTGTTTGGTCACACAGCCAGTTCCTAACCCCTCCCGACAGGGGCTTACTTGAGTGCCACCGGCCTGGTTTCGCGAGAAGTTGCGAGACACGTATTTCTAGTTTTAAATATAACTTAAAATTGTCTTTTCCTAAGCGTTGCAAAGACGATAACTAGTACAATTTTATTTAAAATAACTTAAACTACGAGCAGTCTGTCTGTTTTCTTAGCCCGTCGAGCGAAACGCGCGAGACACGAAAATGACAACGCGCGTGACTAAAGGTGCGAGACGGGAGAGGCGCGATTCAAACGTCTCGCGCCTTTGCCGCTCGGTGCTGCACTCCCCTCACCAAATCTGACGAAAAAGAGAGGCTGCGAGCAGTCTATAAACAATTAGTCAATAGTTACGACCGCAGATAACTTGTTGTCTCCGTTTCTTTTGATTATTTTTAGATTGCACGACCGCAGTCGATTTGATTTTCGTCGTCGACGCCTCGGGAAGTATCGGCATAAAGAACTTCAGAATCATTAAAAAAATCTTACTGAAGATTATCCGACATTTCTCCGTCAGTTCCTACCATACAAGAATCGGCATCGTCAAATACTCCACTTTCGCGCGCGCTGTTTTACGACTGCGCAAGTCACAGAGAAATGGCTACCGTGGAGTTGTAAAGGCGATTCTAAAAATGAGGTACACCAAAGGAGGAACGCATACGGGTAAAGCAATAGCATTGGCTGAAACGTTGCTTACAAGATCAAAGAGGAGGCTTCGTGGAAGATTTGTTAAACATGAACAGGTATCGTAAAGACTTTTGTTCTTGGGCTTTTGTGGTCTCCTTCGCAGTCGCTGGGAGTCACGCAATGCTCCCCGCCCGAGTATTGCGTGACTCTGGCCCGCGGGCTGCGAAGGAGATCGACTAGGGCCATCGTAACTTAATCAAAAATAAAACATAAACAGCGGTAACGTTTCTGATGCTTGTCATCCATATATCGTGGTGACTGTAGTCTCGTCATAGTCTGTGACGGTCACTTTAGATCACTTTCGAAAATGTATGTTGACTAGCATACAAAACGTCAACCCCATATGAGTTTCTGAGCAGACTAAGTAGGTAGCAAATAAACAAGAAACTATCTCCACCTCCCGTCATATTTCAGGCAGTTGTTGTCTTGACTGATGGTCTGACCAGCCAAAAGGACGTCAAAAGATTGAGAGCCGCCTCAGCCAGACTCAAGAAAATTGCTCACGTTATAGCAGTGGGTGTAACGGGCAAGGGGTACGACCGTAAGAATCAGAAAAAACAGCAACAAGAGCTGGGAGAGATAGCCAGCAGTCCAGAGGACTTGTTTTTCCAGTTAAACTTTGCGCAAGTCTTGAAGCACGTGGATCCGATCGCAAAACGAGCCTGTCCTTTGGTTTACAAAATAAAGGGGAAAAAATAAACCATAAAAGTAAGTCAAGTTCCTCATATTTTTCTTCAGAACCTTCATTTCGCGTGGAAAAATGCAGAGACGCTGATAATGGAGAGATTTTATAGAGTCACATTTAACGGAAATTGTACCACGTAACCAAGTTTTCTCTTTACTTGCCGTTTACTGTTTATTATAACTACTCGGAAATCAGGGGATTCACGCTATAGTTTGAAACATAAAAATTGCTTCAGCTGATTTTATCTCCTTATTTTTTTATTTTGAGAAATTCTCATCTTGAACCTGACGTTTGCCGTTTGTCGCAAAAGTGACTCTAAATCTCTCTAATAATTGTTTGACGTTATTTAGTCTGCTTTGTATTCCTTTTTTTTTTTCTTTATAGATCAGGGGTTTCAACGAATCAAAGCAAGGGGAAATCAAGAAGTTATGTAACAAGGTTCCTGGGATACTGAAATACACTTTCTTTCTATTACAAATGATGTAACCAGTGGGAGCTTAAAATAAAGTGAAAACAAGGTTTATGAAATGGAAGCAAAATAGTGATGCATTTCCTTTCTCATAAGACTTCTTTCGTAAGCTATATAAGGTCATATGATTATATGTCTTTACGTACAGAGGATAACCAAAAAGTTGCACGGGTTCTCAGTGCTTTTCAATTTTACGTAACAAAGTGGGAATAGACTGACACGATCCTTAAGTATACTTTGATTCACGTGGCCATCAAGTGGGGCAGACGGGTCTGTAAATATGAGTTATTGACCAACCGTCAGGTCAAGATGGTTGAAAGTCGAGGTCAATGATAAAACCACAAAAAAGAACGGGGCCAAATTTCATAAAGCCATCTTGACCGAACAAGCTTGGTCAATAAGGGATTTATTACATGGCCAACAGGCGAACTTTTCTTGCAGGACCAACCGGGGAAATCCCGAGGGGGCAGGAAGGGCTTATCTTGCTCTCTTGGGTAGCCAATCAGAACGCAGGATTCGCTTCATCTTGCCCGCTGGCAGATTCAGCCATATAAAAAGGCGCAGTATTACCATGTAAAGATTCGTCATCTTTTTTCAGTTGTTTTTATTTCAGTCACGAAATTCCCATCAAAGCTATTGAAATCCTTGCAAAAATTCTCTCTTTAATGCAAAAGGAGATGACTTTTTCTTCAAGCTAAAATATTCTGAGATCATACTTCCTTTCCAGCTCTTTCTAGCACTGCTTTCTAAGAATCTGGTTTTATCAACCAAACTTTATCTCTAACGACCTTATCCTTGTTTCGAACCCACTCATAATAAAGCGCTGACCTATTTGCAACCAGTACTCTTCCATATCCAAAATCGTTCTCGTGAAAACGAGACCACTCCACTTTGAAATAGCCCTCGAGGTCTAATGCGAATCCTGCTGATCCCACTACGATGTGTGTGGTGCCTGTTCCTTCACTTTGACATGTATGCTTATAAACTGCGCATGTCCTTTCGTAGGTGTGGTAGTGTCCCCAGAAGGCTAAATCCACTTTGTATTTGTGAAAAAGCTCTTCCAAATAGTATTGCATTCCAAGAGATACAATGTAGTCATCTAGTAGGGAAATTGTAAAAAAAAAAGGTAACAAGTTAGCCTTTTTTTGTTTTAAGAGTGTTTAAAAAACAATAAAAATAAGCAAAAAGAGAATTAATTTATTTAGTCAACAATCAATTTCTAATATGCAAGTGTTTGAAGAGCTAACAATAGTAGTAGGGAAGGCTCCCAACTAACCTCTTTTCTGGCAAAAATTACCGTTAGCGAGGGTAGTTCAATGCTGTGGAACACATTAACGGCGTTGAAGTCATGAAGTCGAGAATGAAACGCGCTTCTGAACCTTTATGTAAATTTGCTATTATATTTTGTTATTTCCTTGACGCATTTTTATACCAGGTACCAGTTTAATGATACTTGACCAGCAGAAAGGTCGAAAGCCAATAGTTCTTTTTTTGAGAAATTGTAAATGCCGAGACTAGGAATGTGTTCGGATAACTTGAACTACTTGCAAAATATGACATCACGTTTTTACCACATTCGACGCACGTATAAGAAATGTAAAAATAAAAATGTTCTAGAAGTTTTAACAATTTTAAAAAACTTTTAGAACATTTTTATTTTTACATTTCTTATACGTGCGTCGAATGTGGTAAAGACGTGATGTCTCATTTTGCAAGTAGTTCAAGCCAAATAAGTTCTGTTATCACATAACACTCCACCCTTATTACCCTCACACTTCCACTGTCTTAGTCTCTCCACCACCTACGCAATTCAATGGTTTCCATCCACCATCATCACCACCACATTTTTGTTATTTCCCTCCACTAACACATTTTTCCACCACCACCAAATTTGATCATTGTACGTTTCTGGGAAAGTGCCCACCTACCCCTTCCCTCAGCCAACATTAACACTTACTTCTCACTTAGAGCAAAATGTTGGCCTAGGGGAGGGGTAGGTGGGCAGTTTCCCAGAAACGTATAATGATCCCAAATTTCTACCACTCCCCTCACGTCTTTTATTGTCCCCCCAACCCCCCTTCCCCCTCTCCACCACAACTGCTTCACCACTACCACAATTCTACTTGTTGCTTTTCACCGTCACTCGTTAGCACGAGCTGAAAGAGCATATTAAAATTAGGTATCTTGTAAATTTTCAGCCGTTAATCTCAAAAGTAGACTTGTTGCAGCGGCCGCCGAAAATTAGAAGAATTTGAATCAGAAAACAACTCTTGCCACCCAGCCACGCTTGAATGATTTTCCATACAACTCCTTACGCATTTAAGGGCTCAAAGTGCCTGTTATGAATTAAAGGAGATTTGAGCTAATCAACTAAAACAAAAGGCTTATTCACTTCTTTTGTTTTATCCCCTCAGCCTCGGACCCAGCTTTGAATTTCAATAATTTGAAACTGACCCATTAGACTACCGCCATATTTCTATTGTCCCACTCTAAAAGGAGCCTATTAACAGAAGCCTTCAGATATGCTATAGCCTTGAGTCAACCCTTTCTCGTTTCAATCTATTTTTAGAACCACAATTTTCCGCCAAAAACTGTCTCCGCGGACGTCCGCACTGAACACAATCGGTCCGTGCTTCTACAAACGTTAATTCATTTCACACTATTTTACTCATGACATAATTGACTTTCATGAATTCTTGTCCTCGCCTATGAATTTCCTGCCGGACACCGATCTATCATGGACAATATCTTGATCCCAAGGATAGCAAACTGCATACAGTTCCGACCCTATAATACGGACACCTCTGAAATGCAGTCACTGCGATACGTCATTGTCGGCATTAAAAAGAACCGACTATAATTCCAAAACAAGCAACGTTTCGGTGTGTTTTTCGTGTGCTTCGTAAAGTAAGAGGTCAAACCAGAAAACGATGGAGGAGGAGGCGGGAGAAAGAAGCCACGGAGGTTTGTCAGTCTTTCCTCTTTCCCTCGCCCATTCCTTCATGGAATTTCCTGGTTTTCTTGTTTAATCTTGTTTCTGCTTTGCGCGGCTGTTCCCCTTGCTTTACTAATCACTAACGAAAGATACACCGAAAAACCGCCAGAAAAGCAGACTTAGCGACCTTTTAAGTCATAACCGGTCATTACCTAGTAATTCCTGACTGGAATACATCGGCCGGTGTCCGCCGAGCACAACCCATGGTGTCTTCTTCCGATCAACTTGTCTCAGGTCATTTTCTAGCCACTTGTACTGCCTCGAACCCTCTCTGTAATCATGCTCTGTGCTCATCATAATGAAGTGCACGATTCCATAATCGTAACTGTACCTAAAAAATATCTTATGGTTAGTAATATCGTATGGCTGAAGATCCGATAATTGTTTTAGCCGGTAACATTAAAGGTAACCCTTTGAAGATCTAAACGCCACCAATTATGATAACAGGCTTAAAGCAGTCCGGGAAACAGTCCTCTCAACGTGCTTTGATAAAGTCAACCTAACAAATCCTCCCTGCATGGTAATCCAGTCAAGCGGTGAGGGAATTCTTCGTGAGTTAATTAAAACTTCTTAATTAAAAGCCTCTAGTCCAGTACTACTTTGGAGAAATAATTTTCAAAAGACATTTTATTTCAATTCGCTATTCAAGCGGAGGAAAAATATGTACATGAATACGTTTGGAAATGCAATATGATCATGAAAATAAAGGGGAGCAGTGTTCTTGTTGATTAAATAGAATAAAAAAAAATTTTATCACATCAATCACGAAATCCAAAACGAAACTGTGACCCGTGACTTTATTCTTCCTCATTGATGTTGTGGTCTCCGAAGTCCGAAATGTCACATGTCTCAACCCCCTACCCTGTTGCAGGCCCAAAGGAGAAAGACTAGGTGAAGACACCGGACGCCAATATAATGCCCGGAATTCAGACGTCTTTCTACCACGCGACCCCCACGGGTTGGGGGGGGGGGGTTTTGGTGAGTTTGGTGCAAAATTAAGAATTTGCTCTCGCAACTTTCACGCCCATTTGAATTTTTCACAATGTTGCATAGTTTTCTAGATGAAATTAATTAATAAACA